CGGTAAATTCTACTCTCTGTATCTATTATCTTACAATGTCGTTGATTCTAACGTCACTTCTTTAAGGTTTTGATTTCATAACATTGTTAAACAGAATTAAACATTTTTGTGGTCATTTATAGCTTTAGCATTGAAGAATAGACTTATTTCGTACGCGTAGACACATACTCGTAGTTTTGTTTTTGCTCGTAGCCGGAAAATTCTAATTGACATCAATCAACCCGTTATAGAAATTTTAAACCAGCACGTACCTCCACTTGAAATGTGTGTGTGTTGTTACCCGGCGTGACTAACCTATAGATATGAATATCGTTAACCTAACTTACTGAAAAATATTATAACACGTTTGCTCCCAATTTCAGTACTTCACTTTAGTAAAGATCATTATGTTCTCAAGGCTCAAATAGCCAACAATATTTGGCACGTTAAAGGGACATTTTTATTTTCTCGGAGATAATGATTTCTGGAGATCGGTTCACCCCTTCCGCTTCCTTCTTTGAAAGTAATGGCTTTTCAAATAAGGAAGGAGGGTTCAATATTAAGTATAACGTTTTACTGCGTCTTGATTTTTTGCTTTTAAAAAGTAAACGTACGAGTAACGCTTCATGAAAATATTGGATCATAGAGTTAATTTTATTGAAGACTGTGTTTATTATTACCTTTATTTTGAAAGGAGTCTGAAATAATACTATATATCAGTTTGAATGGCTTTACTTAAAAGTTTCTTATTTGCGTTTATTTTGGGGTTTACAGTTTACCTTTTTGTTCGTGTGAGGTTGTTATTATTATAATACATAAATCCTTAGAAGGTCACCAAAAGGGTTTGTCATGGACTTTATTTAAGACAGTGTTTAAGACACGCATTTGGTTACGTGGCTATCTGCACGTTTCTATGCGGCGATATTGAATAAATTGAATGCCAAAGCGTCACCAACTCGAGAAGCTGTCTCGACACCAATTCTAAAATGTCCTTGCTTCGTAACAGCAATGACTTTTTAATAAATAAGTTAGTATTCACTTTTTTATTCTAATACAGAAAATTCAAATCATATCGAAACGCACTTCTAAAAATACTTGTTAAATTGTGCAAGTACTATTTGCTTTTTGTAAAAATGTAAAAAAAAAAGTAAAAATGTATCCTAGTTTCGTCAAGAAAAAACGTTTCTCCTAAAATCAATTTTAGTGAGACACCAGACCGTATCTTTCTAATCCAATTTGTAACCTATAAGCAAAGATATTGGAATATAAGGCTAAAATAGAACGAAAAGAACAAAAAGATCTCATCAAATAAAATTGGCGTAGAAATAAGGGCGACGAAATGAAACCGCGGATACGGATGTAGTGGGGTCGGTGAGACCCATCAATAGCGACAAAGGGGTTTATTTCACTAATTTCGACTGGAATGATTGTGTACTTTGTCTTCACGTATTCACTTCCAATGATTTAATATAAATAAACTATACTAACTCTATAAACCTATTGACTTTAAGTGTACACAACACAACTTACAATCATTTTGATCAATTAGACACATTTTACAAAGCTGACTTCCTATTACCGTTGATGTTAAGTGTATAATTAATAACAAGTTACCTAGCATCACTTTAGTGCCAAAGTTGAAAATTCCTCACGAAGTTAAGAACTTAGAGAACTATTAACATTACTCATAATTACCGCTTTCGAGAGACTTTCAAGTTTCGTAGCAATTGTCACGAAAGGTTAACAAAGCCACAACGTTGTCGTTGTCAGCGTAACAATCGAGAACTTTACAATTTGAAAGATTAATTTATTTGCATATTTTTTAATATTTAAAATTTGGGAGCACTATTTTAGCAAATAGATACCCATAGAAATAGTAAACAGAGCAAAATCAACTTTTCACCTTGCGATATAATGAAAAACAGTCATAGTCTGATGGGTGATTAATAACGTCTTCGATAACTTTTAATATATTTAGGGTTGCACACGGTGGTTTACGCCGCTGACGTCATAAGCCATTAGTCGACTGACGACAGTGGAAAACCTCAAGGGTCACGAGTTCAGACGACACATGGTGAGAATAGTCCGGCTGCGGACGAAACTTTCACCGCATCCCGCCCCGCACATTTATCTCCTAACAGCGAAACTGTTTTTGGATCCTTTTGCGCATTCGCGGCAATGGCCAAAATAAGTCGAGCATCAATGTATTACACATTTACGATTCGCTTGACTGGATAATATTGTATTTATTAAAACCAAAGTCTAAACCATAACAATCAGTTGGATAACTTCATGGAGAAATTCTAATTTTATGTGATAATTCCAAAAAAAAATATTTATCGAATGCAACCCATTCTTCGCAGTCCAATCAAGTTTTTGATAACTGCTCCGATACTAATCGTCGTAGCGTGAACAGCCTATTTAAATCAATACTCTATCTTATTAAAAATACAATTTTTCATATTCTACTAGTATTTTATTATATTAAATTTAGAGATTCAATCCTTTCATTGCTTTTTACAATTAATGTTAGAAACATGCACTTTCTCATATAAAAATGAAACACTGCCAATCTAATGGTCCAATGCGTTTATTTTTTAATGGATATTATTTTTATTTTTATTTTAATAATTGCAAATTATCATGGGGCTTAAACCATGGTCGGTTCTCTAAAATAGATAAAGGTCGAAAATAGATGTTTACCTATTCTTAGCTCTAAAGATGTAAGAAAAGACCCTTTAAATAACTTTTACTAAACTGACCATTATTGGTTATGGAACATGGCGTTGTTGAGAAACTTGATTAACTCAAGAATCGTGTCTTCATACCCTTGCCTATACATGCTTTCATATTAACAAAAAAAAAAAAACTAGGATACCTAGTTCTGGGAGCTATGATTTAATTTTCCAGATTTAATTTTTTCTTTCAACCGGTTTGTCCGATTATTTATTTCGCTGCTTTTTGTTTTATGCAACAGAGGATATTATACTTATCAATAGTGCATACATAAACGTTCAACAAACACTACTTTACTTCTTTTTGTAATTGACTTAAGTGGTGAGGTATTCATTCGTTACAATACCTTTTTTATGTATGTTCGCCGAATACTCTAAGATGTTTCTACCGATAAATCAAGGGAGTTTTATACCTACAAATATTTAGACATAAGTATGAATTGTTAAGTATTTTCCTACAATTTCTCTCCAAAAGGGCCCTTTGATGAAATAGAACTCATGATAAAGACAACTTATATAAACACACCCTGGTGCAGACACGTGTTCACATCTTTCTACTGTACGTTGAAGTAGTACAGTGATATATCACAAAAGCTTGTTAACTTTATAGAGATTGTTTACAGTGGCAGAAATTATTCCTTTTTTTTTGTTGGCTAAACTAGAAATATAACCAGAAATGCTATATTTGTAAGTAATGCAATTAAATCAGTATATATGTACGAGTATACTCATTCACATTATACTAGTATGTGTATTACGTATGTAATACGTATAGCATACCCTCTGGGCTACCCACTCAGGCAGAGACAGAGTTTTATTTTTTTGCCTCTCCCGAGCACGCTTTGTCCCTTTTTCGATCCGGTTGTTTTATATGGGGCGTTTAATCCGATAAAATTCGTGTGGACTCGAATTGGTTTAGGAGAAATGGAAAATAGACTGGGACATAAATGCTTCACTGTCGATGTTGGTATAATTATTTTCTTTTTACCTACTTCAATTTGTGTGAACGTATTTGCTTGTGGGATCAAAATAAGGTCTTTAATTTTGATGCTTTGTCAAGTAAATTAGACAAAAAATGTTTGCTACAGCAAAATTTTAACATAAAATAAATATTCTTGACGTTTCTTAGTATTGCTTTATAATTTTTTTTTTTTTTTTAAATAGAATAGTTGGTCATGTTATGTTTTAAAGAATAAGGCAGTTGTTTTCTGGTAAAAAAAAATCAAAAGGAAACCTTCACATGTAAGTCCACAAGAAACTATACATGCATACAACATAACACGTTTAAAAATAATTTACCCAGACGTACAGATTTTTATTCGTCTCCAAACAGTGGACGACACCTAAAATGGTGATCAAGACCCGCTGTAGACTGGAGGTTTTGTAGTTTTGTAGCTAGTGTTCTGATTCATTACACGAATTGGCGATTGTCAGAGTTACTGGTGACGATTGGTCGCCGCCAACTCATAGATGGTTTTGAAACTTTAAGGACCGGTTTTTCAATCCTCAGATAAACAGTTAGATGTCATTTAATCCACAGTCAGCGTAATTTTGGATTTTCAATGGTTAGATTGCTGTTATTTGAAGAAAAAAAGCTTAAATTTCACATGTTTGAAGTGAACTTAGCTATGAAAGACCATCAAGTAACTATCTATTGGTTACACCCGATCTAAAAAACATAAAAAGTTTATACGCTTGATAAACAGCAAAATAAATTTATTCCCAAGTTGTCTGACAGTATAACTGAGGATTGAAAAACCGGCCCTTAAAAGGATGCCTTATATTAATAATAAATAATATCCTATAATCTAGTTTACATTTTCTTTATCACATCAAATTTATGTTTTTAGACATAAAATTCACATAAAGGAAGAGCGTTTCGAATATTGATAAATAATAATCACAGCCACTGTTGAAACAAACAATCTTATTCAATGAATGCAAATCTGATAATATAAGCCATTAGCTTTTTATCAAGGGGATTTTTCATGTTTAGAAGACATGTATTATTCAATGAATTACTGTTGTACTACAACTAGCATTTGGCCGCGGTTCCATGGAACAATATCACTTCCGACATATTGACTAAATGGAAATGATTCCATTTAGTCAATGTGTCGGAAATATATTGTTCATAAATTAAAATCGATACATATTGTATTAAATTACTAATTAGGTGAGGATTCAATTGCTATTGTCCTTTAAAACAAAGCTAAAAAGAACTTAAACAAATGTCAAACTATTCAACCAACAGGATTACTGAGGCTACAACAACTGTACCAGACTATGCAACCGGGGCGTACTACGTTTAGAATCGCACTCGTGAAGCGAATTAATAACGCGTCAGAAGCAATAGAATTCCTGTTGGCTCTAGAGCAATTTGACCGTTGGGGCAACAAGCGCATAGTACTAGATTGCAACGCTAAAAACGCCAAAAGCATATTGGTCGAACATGTACGAAAAGTGCAATTGGGACGTAGAACCTATCACTACATGCTCAGCGGTCTGGTGAGTATTGCTTCCTCGTGTCTAGATTACGAATACAGTTTTAACGTTGCTTTGAAAAGGTACTTCCAATTCAAACTCATTTATTTGTTTTTTTTTTTCCAGTTCTGCATTTAATTGATAATAGAAAAAAATCTTTGCTCACTTACTATTTTCATTTTTGATACGTAGTTGTTCTGTTAAAATAACTTTGATTACTGGATTAAGTAGTTAAAGAGGGTGTAATCAATCCCTGGACTTTTTACTAAATAAAATGTTGTGCGTTTTACATTTTCATTAAACAAGAACTTAAAGTATCGTATTAACAGGTAATGGATGATCATTGGGAGAACGAAAGTAACAGAATATGGTGCAGTCAATATAACTGGATTCCGCATCGTCGACCACTCGCGCAAGATTGTACGCGATTTCATGGACGGTTTTGCGGCGAATGGACCCTCGGTTCAAGGGGACCATATCGGTAAGTGCTTTCATTATCTCAAATAGCTAAGTGTTCTGATATTTGTAGATTACATAAACTTTGATCAACGAAGCGAACGATCGCTTAGAATACCAAAATCAAACAGTGTGTTTGAGCTCAAGTAAATACTTTTTGTTTTTTGGTAATTGTTACAATGTCCGTCTGTCTTGCGTATGATTCTATGAGTATTCATCTTCATTCCATTTTCAGATTTTTTATCAGATTGCGACAAATCCTTTTCTAAGCCCCTGAAAAGCATACACTTTGTAATAGAGAGAAAATTGTTAATTTAACTCCAATTAGAGACTGAAAAATTTAACTCATCATCATAAAACTAAAACAAAATCAGCATTATGTGGTTATAAAATAGTATCTAAACAATAAAAAAAAAATCAACAATATCAGTGTTAGTTATGAGAAAGTAAGTAATAACATTACCGCAACGGTAACTTTTTATAATTTGCAACATTAATGAAAGTTTATTGCAATATCAAGTTGCTTCTCCGCCGTCAAAGTACAGGTCATAAGTACTATCACCAGCAAAGCGAAACGGATTAGAATATTGTAAAAAGGGTAATAGCGTACGTCATTTCTGATTTTATTAAAATTTGAATATTACATGAAAGCAAGTTTATGATATCCGACTCACAACATAAACCACACGAGCTATAACTGGCGTATCCCGAAGAAAATTTTAACATGGAGCAATAACCCGTTTATGTAGATTTCTCTAACTCAAGAACACCCTAATGAAACAGTGAGTGGGGGAACGCCTGCATAAATTATTATTCCATATGATCTCCCTTTTCTGTGTAAATACACTTAGGCCTTTTTCGACTCGACAAGGTCTCCTGAGGATTGTTCAAAAGTAAAATTAACTCATCACAGTAGTTAACGTGCCTCGCGAGTTTTACGTGTTAGTTAGCAAAATAGTTTGATCGTCATACTGTTATAGAGCCCAAATAATTTGTTGTTTAATGTAGTCAGTAAATAATTATAAAGCGCAAAATTGAAGGTCATAATTGTCTTGAATAGAGGTTTCTAGATAAAGATAAAAAAAATGAAATCATAAGTGGATACTGGCATTAATTGACAAAAAGAAAGATACTATCTGGTGATATGAAACCAAAAGTGCTACATTTTTTACTTTACTTATTATTTTCATAGCAGAGACAATTTCAAAAAAAATAAAATTTTCAACTATGTTCATTTAGGCCGAGACTGCTTTAATGTACGATGGTGTGCAAGTCCTCATGGATGCTTTAGGAAGGCTGTGGAGAAAGAAACCTGATGCCTTTAGAAGTGCCTTGAGGCGGGCTGCTGGTCAGGCAAACTCTACCAAGGTCATTGATTGTAATCCCGGGAAAAGCTGGGTAGTCCCTTTTGAACATGGTGACAAAATTTCAAGACTTATAAAGAAGGTATTTTGTATTGCCATTTTTTTTTAATTATTTAATACATATTGTTTTAAAAATTAATAGAATATAATTATGGTATAAACCTTTAGACGGACATCGAAGGCCTTACCGGAAACATTTCATTCAATGATGAGGGACACAGACACAATTTCACATTACACGTTGTGGAGATGACCGTGCAGAGCGCTATGCTAAAGGTAAGTCTGTAGCATTTTAAGGAAAGTTTTAAGTGGAACAAAGTTAACAGCTAAATAAAGATGACAGCGAATTAACTAGCAAGTAAATTAAATCAAACGGTTGCCTTTTTGGTCATGCCCAAGACATCTCACGGTAAATACAAAGTGACAGTATTCATATCCATTATATATTATGAGCATTATTAAATTTACGCTAACTTTACACCTCCGTGAACTGGTACTTTGGTGAAAGTTAATTTTAACTTTATTTTCGCCTACTTCTGTTTCACAGCTCACTAATGATTTCTCGGCGCCCATAAATCAATGCGTACAAACTTTTGGAGCTATTCTTTCAGTCGCCACTTAGGACTTTCAAAATTTGTTTTTGACATGGGGCTCCTGATTTTAAGTGTACCACTGGTTTTGTAGACAACTGATTTACTGTAATTTGAATTTCACTATCACAAATAGCTCGAATTTGAATCATTTAAAAGGCATATATTACATTTCGTAAATCTGTAAATTGGGAATGATATTTTTCCTTTGTACAAGTAAACTAATTAATACAAACACATAAATAGATACAAGTTGTAGTTAATGTATAGTATATGCTAAGCTTCCAAATTTTATATAACACAGCTAAAGTTTTATAAACATATTAATTAATATATTATAAAAATATTAATAAATTGTTTAAGGTGGCTACATGGACCGATGCACACGGTCTACAAATAGCTACACCAAAATACGTTCAGCTACGGTCACCAGCCTCATATGAAACTAACAGAACGTATTTAATGACATCTATTATTCAAGAGCCATACTTAATGCTAAAACAAGGAGACTTCGGACAAAAAGAAGAATTTTATGGATTCTGCAAGGATTTAATGGACATCATTTCAAAAAAATTGGGGATCAAATGTTAGTATGATAAAACATTAGTGCGGCAGTTTGAATATTTTTTCATGCATATAACTAAACGTATTTTCACTAAATGAAGTTATATGTACTTACGAAGCTTATAGATTAAATAACACAAACAAGACAAACAATGTTCTCCATTTACACTTGTTTTCATTCAAATTATAAACTTTATCTTAGTTTATTAAAGCAATAGCTAAATGAATTGTACACCAGGATCAATAACGTCAACTCATATAAATATGGTATATGAAACTCTACGGAAATAGGCAAAGTTTTATTATCTTAGTCGACCCAACTAACAACTAAAAATAGTTTTAATCAATGAGATATTTGGTAAACCGAGACACAAAAAATAACGTGACTACAGCCTTATTAGATCGCATGAGTTTACGTATAGCACTTATTAAACCGTTAACTCCACCGTTGAATCCAATAATGTATATGACAACAACGAACGAAAATAACTTTTGCTAACACAAAATCTACTGTATACCACTGCAGATAGTGCCCAAAACAACTTACTAAATAAAAAAACTTTGGTACCAAAGTTGCAGTTCTATTACATATCATAATAATATGTAAATGATAAATTACCAATTATAATGTTTATTAAAAAAACTCACTCATACACTTGGTACACACTTAATTACAGTTTGAATTTTTTTACATAAATACTGATTTCGTTTATTGTTTCAGATGAGATAAGATTATCGAAAGAAGGCAAATATGTAAACGACGCTACTCCGGAGATTTATACAGGAGTAATCGGAGACATTATGAGAAAGGTAAGTGACCTGGCTTGACTGCACGGATGGCGTAGTGGTAGTATGATGTAGTGAGTATTGTGGGTTCGAGCCCCACTTGCAACAACACATTGTTGTTCTGAAGTCTGGGTGTTTTTTTTGTCCATTTCATTTATGTTTGTAAAGTCCCCCGCGACACAGGATATATTCCTAGTGCACGAGTTGTTGACTTGTGAAATACCAATTAAGAAAAGAAGGCTTCTTAACTTTTCACCTGTAAGTTTATTGCCATTCTTCGTGCCCCGCCAGGGCTTGGGTTCGGCTCCGGCTTCCCTCACTTATTCGGTGAAAAGCTTGCTTAACGAAACGAAACTTAAACAAAACAATTGCTTAACACGGCTTTCTGTGAGGCCGTAGTATTAATTCGCTCGAGCACGGCCCATAGGCTGATGCTCTCACGTTTCAAAAGATTTTTACAAATTCAATTAATAACTCTAGTGTTAAACAGAAATATTAAAAACCCAAAATTACTTTAATTCGGATTACACAAATTTTAAATTAATGGGTATTGACACCTTTAAAGAATAACATTGTAACTTACTTTTTGGCAGTTTTGAGTTACAATCATATTCTTCCTGTACAGAAAATGTAGATTTTTTTTGCACTCATTCCTGTGTCTAAAATATTTTGCGTACGGATTTTGATGTGTAGCAACATTGTAAGTCAGTCAAGAGTCAACTGCAGTTCATAAAATGGTGTACTTAGTAAAACACTATCATCATCATTGTTTTAGGTGCTCCATTGTAATCCAAGATACAATTTTGTTTTCGGAAATAAATATTTCTTGTTAAATTTGTTTCATCTATTTCTTATTTTATACTTTCATGGTGGATAAAACAATAGTCCAAGGATTGTCACATAAGTCACGAATATTTTGTGGGCAATAATCTCGAGAATCCATTAAAGAACAGCCTCCGACTCAAGAACAAGCAGTAATAGCGCCTGGAAGTCAAAACCATAGTCCAAACAATCTCAGAAGTGCATTTTGATAGGTGAAACTAAAGAACGCAACTACGTACAATTAGAACAAAACATAAAACAACTCTATTTCAAGTAATAATTTACACTGCTGAGTTAAATGAATGTAATGGGAAATTCTTCAGTTTAAATGTCTACAAATAATTTAGATAATCGCGTGATTCTTTATTTCTGCCAGATATCCTAAAACAGTTACATTCTAAGATTTTTGTTTTTTTTAATTTTAGTGTTGTTACATTTTAATCGTTGCGGAGGTAAAGATTAATCGATTTACTTTACATATCGTATATTGTCAAAGGTCTTGCTAACCAGAGTTCATCTTCATTATATTATAATTATTTATTAATTTGTTATTTACGCTTTAATTTTATGCTTTTTGTATAATTAAATCGAAGTGAATAAAATTCATATTTATTTTAAGAATTACCTATTTAATTAAAGAATTAAAGTTTATATCTTTAAACTAAACCATCTATGAGTGTGTGATGCGTATGACAGACTCGATCTGAAACTACAAAGAGTGACATTTTCTACGAAAAATGAATAGTATACCTGATTGGACCAAAGTTATTTTTTGGATGAAACGTTGTTAAATTCAAACCATATTAGTCGAAGTCTTGGACGAACGATACTCCGTCCTCTAGTAAAAAAGTGCCTATTAGGAAAGGTAGCCAATTAATTGTTTGTTATGCTAGATATGCTGGAGGTTTGGTAGAAAATTGTTTATTGGCGTTCGAGTCAAAAGCACGAAAGAACATTACGGAGAGGTGGACTCAAACAAATGATCGATAAGCGCTAGCAAAGACGAAAAATAAAGCCGAGCGTGTAGCATGACTACAGAGGAACGGAGTTCAAGAAGACATGACTCTTTTAAAACAGGAACTAGTGAGATTAGATTAGATTAGATAGAAGAACACAAATCAACACGAAAAGAAGAACAGAGCATGTGCACGAAGTAATAAGGACACTACCATACTAATGCCAGTATAATGCCATAGAACTGATTTGGGCTCAGGTCAAAGGTTAGTTCCTATGTTACATGTTCTTGATCCCAATGCATAAAAAAGTAAAAAGTATTAAAAACTTTCACGACCTCCTTTAAAACCACAAAAAAATTCAATATAATTATGGTAGACTTGGCTAATTCTTATGTTTATTTTGTTATTATATTTTTTTTATTACTATTGTTAATTGACAGAACACAGTCCCACCGTTCACTACAAAAACAAATGAAGAGCCTTCTAACAGAAGCATGTAACCATGTTACGAAAGATGACTGAGAGAAGGTGGTATAGAAAACTAAAAAAAAAAGTTGCAGAAGACTTCGAAACAGACATTCCCATCGACAAATTACGAGGAGGCAATTTTTTTTTCTTTTGCCTCTGACAATGAGGACATCAGTTCAGAAAGCGAATAAATATTATTAATATCTGATTCATGTTTTCTTTATATCTTTTATTTATTCGATCCTTATATCTTGTTTGTATTCTTAGCTATATTTGTGGTATGCAACATGTATGTGGTACATCGAAACGAAGTTGTGATTACACGTAATGGTGTCCTTGCTGTTTAAATACATTCTATGTCTCCATTAACCAAACCATAAAATTGGAAATCCATATCGATTGTGTGAAATAATAATCTACGAGACGTCTTTAAATTCTGTCTACCTTTAAGAATTTATTTCTTTTTAGTTTTTAAATTAAATAACTAAATAAATAATATTGTACCACATTCACACAACGCCATCTAGTCCCAAACTAAGCAGAGCTTGTACTATGGGTATTAGACAACTGATATAAATACATATACCTATACTTTTTTTGTTGTAAATACATACTTATTATACATAGAAACACCCAGACCAAATCAAACATTAAATGTTCATGCACAAAAATGTTTTGACTTGAGCGGGAATCGAACCCGCGACCTTTTGGAATAGCAGTCCGTTATAGAAACCACTACTACGCCATTCGGTCGTCAATTATATCTTTAATGTATTATATTATATCTTAAAAGTATTTTTAATAACAGATAAGAATGATAGTTTAAATTGTACAAGTCGCGTTTTTATTATTATCGTAACATCATAAACAAATAACCGAAAGAACCAATAATATTAGCAGTAAATAATGAATCATAATAACTTACGAAAATCGAATAATGTTAGCAATAAATAATGACATCATAAAAAAACGTTTTTTTTAACGAAATTAGTAATCGGGAACACTTAATATTTTGCCAGAAACCTATGAATTACGGATAAAGTAATTTCTTTCTTATCTTTCCAAAACTTTTTTTCTGCTTAAATGTTGCAGACTTCTCAGGATAAATGTTATATACCCTAAATTAATAAACAGAAAATAGATGGTTTTTTCTAACAAAAGCAAATGTTTGTGTTTCGTGGGCAAAAACGGGCATTACCCTTTATATAAACAACTTTTCTATTGTAAGTAATTTAACTCCAAAATGCTTAAAAAAATACATTTATCAATTTTATCTCCAAACATGCATTTTTTTTCATTCTTTGAAATATATACCTGTTACTAAACTTTTTGCGATGTATGTCTGAAGTTACAATGTTAATATTTAATCATTAATGTTGTCCTATGTCATTGTAAGTCATATATATAAAATACTAGCTGACCCGGCAAACGTTGTATTGCAAAAAAACAAAAAAAAATTAGGGATGGGTCACCTTATCATTAAGGGGTATGAAAAAATAGAATGTTGGCCGATTCTCAGACCTACCCGATGTGCACACAATATTTCATGAGAATCGGTCAAGCCGTTTCGGAGGGAGTACGGGAACGAACATTGTGACACGAGAATTTTATATATAAGATAATCATATAAAATTGTAGCTATTCCCTCGTTGACTCAAAATTTCAAGGTTGGTTGGGTATCAAACGCTTAACCGAAACCTGAGAGATTTGAGACGCTATCCTGAAAAGTTAGGAAAAATGAATTACGCATGTTATTCTTGGCAAGGTGTCGATATTATCTACTCCGGTAATGAAACTAGCAGTTGGCAAAAAATTGGCAGTTCTATACCGCAGTTTCAAGCTATGTTGATATAGTGAATTTTATTATTACAAAAGAACCGTAACAAAGATAATACCAAAACAGCCGAGTTTTAAGACAACTTTGAAAGATAACTTCGCGTGCCAACTCTTTATTTTTCTTTGAGTTTGCCTATTGTCCATTTAGATAAAATAAAAGTTGTTAAGACCATTGTTTAATATAACTTATTAACATGATATTATGTAATGAGTATGAGTAAAGAAGTTTTAGTGACCGGGTTGGTTGGTAGGACGGAGATCTGAGTCAAACCATGAGGTAACACAAACAAAATATATTAAAATGAATTTTGTAAGAAATAATTATCTTGCTTTAGTTAAAGAAAGAAGGGGTATGATTTTTAAAAGGGTTTTTAACTCCGAAGAGTTAGAGTACCCATTTGTTGCTATAACTAAATTTAAGTTTGTAAGTTGATGAGAAGAAATAATGTTTTTTTTTTGTAGGTACGGTGTAGGAGAGCAAAACCGTAGAACCGTGGTGGTCCCATTCTATCTATTATCTATTTTGTTTTTGAAATTCGTGTTTAAATACTTCTAGTTTTCTGAATGGAAACGGTGGTCTGTTGCTTTCACAATCACAGTTAGTCTAATATAAATGAAACCAAATAAAACAGTAAAAATCGCATCAGGAATGAGGTGATCTGGCAGAGAACCAAGGTCTCTGACATAGCTTACCGGATCAGCAAGCTAAAGTGCCAGTGGGCTGGCCATATTAGCCGCAGAAACGACAACCGTTGGGGTAAGCGGGTTCTTGAGTGGAGACCTGCGTCTCGGCAAAACGTAGTGTAGAACGCCCACAGGCCAGGTGAGTGACGATTAGCGCAAGATGGGTGGCAGGAGCTGGAATGCGAGAAGCCCAAAATCGATCTAAGTGGCGTGCAATGGAGAGGCCCTATGTCCAGCAGTGGACTTGCGATAGGCTGA